AATTTCGTCTACCAAAAGCAGAGGTGACAGAAATGCTATGGAACTGAGAGCTTGATGTTGAATCTTGTTTGGTGACAGGTGTTGGCTTCAGACAGTAAGATGCTGTCTAGTATTCCTTCAGGGTGGTCTTGCTCTGTTTTCTATAACCCATAATTGTACGAGAAGAACTGAACCACCGAATTCCCCAAAGCCACATTCCCTATGAAGGAAGTGCCTATAGTGGCGGGAGCTGTGGAGGTCCCATCAACATGGTGATGGGAGCCCTGCCTGGTTGTACAGGCCTGCTACCCCAGTATTTAGGAGGTCCTGTCAAGTTCAAGATCTGCCTGGGAAACTTGGTGAGACCCTCTGTAAAAGAAAAAAGTCTGCAGAAGGTTGGAGGTGTAGCTCAGAGAAAAGGGCTGGCCTTATGCACAGGGCACTGGTTCAGGCCCCAGTACTGGGAGTGCACATGAGTGTGTGTGGGGGGGAATGTATAGATTTTATGACAAGCAACCACTGGTTGATGGCTCATCACAGGATAAACAATCCACTTCTGTCACGGTGTTGGTGTAAGCGCTGCTCACACTTGTCTGTACATGCATCTTGGTGTTTGGTGGATGTGGATGATGGAGTAGTCTCTAAAAACTCTCAGTGATCACATGAGATCCTTTCCCAAAAACAAAAATCTTAGTGATCTTGGAGCAAATGGCCCCATGTATCCTTCCTTTCTTCCCCTGCCTTTTTTTTTTTTTTTTTAAAAAAGATGGGTTCCTGAAATCAAACTCAGATCCTGTGTCAGCAAGCAAGGCAAGCACTTTGTCTACTGAGATGTAGCCACGGTCCAAGCTGAGGGCTGTTGGCATTTTTGTCTTGTTTGTTTGTTTTGTTGAGAAAGGAGGAAGAAAATATGGACGCAAAACTTAAAACGTTTTGGTGGAAGAGCAGCGACGGCCACCACCCTCCCGAAAGGTGCAGCAGCAGCCAAGACCACCCCACCCCCAGCCCCACTGAGAAAACCTGCTGACGCAAGGGCCGACGGCACACGCCCTGGGCTGGCTTCTCCTCGTCTCAACGCGTTCACTGTTAGCCAGGAGTCTGCTCCTTTTTCTCCCTGTGGAGCACTGAGATGCACTTACAGTTTGTGGTTAGAAACCAACTTCACAGTTACCAACAGGGGCTCTGCCTACCTGTAGGTTCCATATCCACGTGTCCTGGATTCAGTCACTCTGCAATCAAAATATGTTGGGGTGTGTGTTTGTGTGCTGTGTGGAGCATGTTCTTGTTAGTGTGGTTGGGTGTACCTGCACGTGTGTGAGTGTGTGAGTGTGTGAGTGTGTGTGTGTGTGTGTGTGTGTGTCCGTCCACAGGTGGATGGCAAGGTATCTTTCCTCGATTACTCTCCACTCCTTTGTTTGTTTGTTTGTTTGGTTGGTTGGTTTTGGTTTTTTAAGACAGGGTTTCTCTGTGTAGCCCTGGTTATCCTGGATCTCACTCTGTAGACCAGGCTGGCCTTGAACTCAGAGATTCACCTGCCTCTGCCTCGCCAGTGCTGGGATTAAAGGCGTGCGCCACCACTGCCCGGCCATTTCTTTATTTTTTAATTAATTTATTTTAAAGTTGGTTAAGAGTGCATACTGCGGGGCTGGAGAGATGGCTCAGAGGTTAAGAGCACTGGCTGCTCTTCTAGAGGTCCTGAGTTCAATTCCCAGCAACCATATGGTGGCTCACAACCATCTATAATGAGATCTGGTGCCCTCTTCTGGCCTGCAGGTAGAACACTGTATACATAAAAAAAAAAAAAAAGTGCATATTGCTCTTGCAGAGAACTTGAGTATAGTTTCCAGCATTCACATACTGCTCAAAACTGTCTGTAGCTCCAGTTCCAGGGGATCCAATGCCCTCTTCTGGTCTGCATGAGCATCAGGTATACAATTGGTGCTCAGACATACATACAGGCCAAACAAATAATCCATACCTATAAAAAATTAAATTTAAAAAGTGCTCTGGATGCATGCGTGCTTGGTTCATAGACACACACAACATGATTTTCTTCAAGGGACACGCGTGTCCGTGCATTTGGCTCTGAGTCTGACCTCCGCCCTTCAAGTCTCCTGGCCACCGGATCTTTGGGTCTAAGTGTTTGGCTTGTTTATCCTGTCAGACACATTCCAGGGGAGGCTCTGGTTTGGGTGCAAACGTCTTTGAAGTTATTTTGAATGGACACGCTGTGAAAAGTGGTCTATGCATTTTTCTGGGCAAGTTTTCCTAGCAGGTGCTTCATGCTATCCCTATGGGCTGAGTTCTTGGTCCAGCATGATATTGAGGTGGAGAATTCTCTGGTATGGGCTGTGCTAGGCACTGTCTGTCATACTTCCCCAGCATCTGTGGCTTCCAGGATGACCACAGGATACTCTCCCACGCTACTGTGTCACAACAAAACCATCTCCAGACATTGCTAAATGTCCCCTTTGAGGAGCTGGGGCACAGTTGTCCTAGACGGCCTCTGCAATGAGGTTTGATATGGACCAGGAAAAGCAGTCAATGATCTCACTTTTTACATTTTAATTTAAGTGTGTGTGTGTGTGTGTGTGTGTGTGTGTGTGTGTGTGTGTGTGTGTTAGTCCTTGCAAAGGCCAGAAGAAGGTGTTGGATCTCTTGGACCTGGAGTTAGAGGGCTGTGAGCTGCTTGACATGGGTTCTGGAAACCGAACTCAGGTCCTTTGTAAGAGCAAGTGTTAACTGCTGAGCCGTCTCCGCTGCCTTGGACCACATTTCTTTACACATACATCTATTGATGTAGATCTCACGTTAGTCATGGGAAAGCATGAACGGTAGGATTGGATCTAACAGGCTTCCTGGAGGCTGCAGTTGTCCTCACCACCGACAGATGAGGCAGAACAGGGGAGTGTGGGGTGGGTGGGTGGGCAGGTGCTGGGACCAAGGCCCTGCCTCTAGGATAAATGAGAGGGCTGAATGAAGAAAACCTTCCAGCAGGATCTGCAACCTTCTCCAGAACTGCAGACAGCTCCCAGTAGCCTCCACACCTTAAAGAGGCCTGGCCCGCAGGCTGCAGCCAACGCCTGTTCATAAATTGATGTAGTCGCACCAGAATCCCTATAGAGGGACTCTGCCTCCACACACCTGTTGGCCAGCCAGCCTGTCTGGTCACAGTGGTCACAGACATTGGGAGGCAGCAGGCCAGGCAGGGAAGCGGTAAGGCAGGGACTCCAGCAGTGCCTTTCCTGGGAGGGTCCTCCTGCCCTGTCTGTGCCTAGAGGGCTCTTTGAGATTTGCTGGCTGAAGATACGTTCTGGGGACACTCCTTCTGGACCAAACCCCAGGCTTGTTGTTATGGTAGCCTTGGGGCTGGGACCCTGGAGTCTGCCGCCTTACCGAGCCTTCCTGAAGGATGTTGTGGATTGCAGTCCTGACTACTTTTCAGGATTCAAAGCTCTGCAGATGAGCTGGTTGGCTCAGATTAAGGGGGTAGTTAGGACCCAAGGCACTGAAACTCGCCTCCTTCTCAGTCATGTCTCTTCTTTTCCTCTCTGAGGACAACAGCCCGTGCCCTGAGGTGTGTTTGTACACATACACATAAATAAATCACACAGACTAGAAGGGGGATGTCACAGAAGGAAGGGAGGGGCGCAGAGGGGGAGGGAATAAGAGAGTAAAGTGGGAAGGAAGGGTAAAGACCTTTTTCTCATATGCAGAAACCAGGTGTGTGTGTGTGTGTGTGTATTATATAATATATATATATGTGTGTGTGTATATATATATATTATATGTAATATATATATGTGTGTGTGCATTTGACATGAGAGCAGAAAATAAAATAAAAATATGATGACTTAAATGGTGGTGCGCAGCCGGGCGGTGGTGGCGCACGCCTTTAATCCCAGCACTCGGGAGGCAGAGGCAGGCGGATCTCTGTGAGTTCGAGGCCAGCCTGGGCTACCAAGTGAGCTCCAGGAAAGGCGCAAAGCTACGCAGAGAAACCCTGTCTCGAAAAACCAAAAAAAAAAAAAAAAAAAAAAAAAAAAAAATGGTGGTGCGCTAACATTTGAGAGGTAGAAGCAGGAGGATCAGAAGTTCAAGGTCGGACTGGTGAGATGTTTCAGCAGGTAAAGGTGCCAGCTGCCAAGCCTGGCCATGTGAATTCAATTCCTAGAACCACATGGTGGAAGGAGAGAACTGACTTCAAGTTATCCTCTGATCTTCTCAGAAACACTTACCATGTACCATCACACACACAAATAAATGTAGCAAATTTTTGTAAAAAAAAAAAAAAAAAAAGTTCATGGTCATCCATGGCTATGTGTTGGATTAGAAGCCAGCCTGGGATACATGAGGCTCTATCTCAGCACACATACTCATAGGAAAAAAAAAATAAATATAATGCCTTGATTTAATATTGTGGAGCCAAAAATACTTTTATAAACATGAAGCTCATTTCATAGTTTAGAAATTTTAAAAACGCACACCAATCCTCCAATGTGGTATTTGCTTCATTCTGGGCTGCTAAACCCTCCTTCCTTCCCAAGGGCCACCTCACAGGTGAAAGCATCTGATAGCACACAACTCAGGCCTGGCATTTAAATCCTCTCGGGAGGTGATGGGGGGCGATGAGCCGCGCTGATGAGTCAGCAATGGCTGCCTCCACCGTCTCCACCTCCACCCTGCTTTGAGTCTGTCAGGTCTGAACCTTCTGTAACATGCTCTGTAACATGGGCTGTGTCCTGGACCCCGGACAACTCGTGTTCGACACCTTCTGCTCCTGTCTTGTTGCTTGGTTTGGTTTGATTTGTGTTGTGTGGGTTTTTGTTTGTTTTTGAGACAGCGTATCAATTAGATCAGGATCCAACTCTATGCAGCCGAGGCTGACCTTGAACTCTACTTCCCAAGGGCTGAGATTACATGTGTGCACTGTTGCACCTGGATTTGTCTTGCTTGATTTTTCTCTGGGAAATGAGAATTTTCTCATTTTTTTTCTGTGATATGAGAGACATTCTGTCTGCTTTTTTTTTTTTTTTTTTTTTAATCAAAGGCATTTAACCCAATGAGGGCTCATATGTTCTTCTCCTTTGTGACAGTTAGCCACCTGTCAGATTGTGACACTGAGCTCCCAGCCATGACATGAAGGCACCACCTATACCAGTGATAAAGACAGAGGCCGCTTTGACTTGGTGTGCTGCTGTCGGCTGTGGCTTGCACTTCCTGCCGGAACAAATCACCTTGCTGAACTGTTTTTGCTTCGTCTGTGTGTTCCTTTGCTTGACACCAACGTTCTCTTTTCCAGTGACTGTGAGGCTCCCTGGGATTTCAAACGCACCTGGGGATGTTCAGATCCCCTCCCTTGGGGGAGGCACACCTAACCCTTCTTGCAGTGACCCCCAGGATCTTGGATGAATGACATTCTTTTGGATCACTAAAGATCCCAAGACAGAAGTTTCTCAGCAACTCAGGGAGGGCCAAGAAAATGCCGAGGCAACCAGGTAATTCTTGTGCAGGAGACCAAGGTAGGGGCACAAAGAAGGGCAAAGTCCTTCTTGGCTGGTCCAGTCACCCTGGAGGTAGAATAAGAGAGAGTCAATGAGATGTATATGTATGCAGTAGAGTCCCGAGCGTAGCTCTGCCAGTGTCTTGAGAGGTTTCTGACTGAGAAGCACCTAACAGAGACCCCCACCCACTCACCCAATAAGGGAGCGGATAAAGCATTTGGAATCAGAGTACAAGAAACTTCTGTTGTAGGAGGTTGAATCTGGTTATCAGAGTGTGAAAACCTCCCTTACGAGAGGTTGAACCTCTGACAGCTTAGCTTTCATGAAGCTGGAATGAGAAGTAATTTGAAGGGGAGGGGATCTCTGAAGAAACAGACTCCCCAAGAAGCAGGCAACTCCTCTGGCTGGCCCAGAGGCTCCCCACCCCGTTCAGTATTCACAAATCCATCTGGTCTCAGCCCACATCATTCTTGGGTGAACAAAATGGCATCAAAGTCACTTTCTCCTTCCTGTTTCTTTGCTTTACTTTTTCCTGGCCCGCATGCCTAGACCTCACCTCCTGTCTCCTACATCCACGGGGACTTATGCCCTGCTGGGGGATGGGCTCATTTGATCATGGAGCTGAGCTCACCATAAGGGAAAAGTAACCATGTTGCTTTGTTACCATCTTGGCAGGGTAACCTGATCAAGGTGCAGCTGGCCCTGTCACTTGGCCACTACCTTGATTAGTGATATCATCAAGATAGTGACGATCATGTGACTTCACTGCCATCTTGGTTAATGGACCACATGACATTAACCAAAATGGTGGCACCTATAAAACTTCCTGGTACCACTGAGCTCCTAGGGGCTCACCACACACTAGAACTTCCTGCACCACAGGCATACAGTCACACACACACACACACACACACCGGTCCTCTTCTGTCTCCTTTCTGTGTGGTTTTCACTATGCGGGATGCCTGATGGGATCATGGGATGGACAGCAGGAGAGACTGCAACCTGGGCTGCACTGTAGTTTATATCAGACGACTGAGGCAACTTCCCAATAGATACCAGACTTCCCAGGTAGGTTTTGGCTTTCCTTTTTTTCTTTTTAATTTTAGCACATTGCTTCCACATGATGTATTTCCTAGTTTTTAGAGAGAACATAAGATCTTTCCCAGCCCATGTGTGTCCAACACTAGCCAGCTATCAAAGCGAGCTGACACTTTGAAATGTAGATTTAGAGAGCCCCTGTGAATTTGCAGCAGCCCATGGAGAACTTGGAAAGTACAATCCCAACTGGAGCCCAGAGGACAGATCAGCAGGTGCTACACAGCTGCCACCAGGGGGCGCTATTGCTGGCTCATCATGCCTGCTCCTGCCCTGCATCTCTGATGTTATAACACAAATCTTAAAAGGTCTTATTAATAAAAAACTCAGAGCCAGATATTGGGGTGAATACTGAAAGATCACAGAAACAGAAAAGCCACAGCCACCAACTATTACCTTACCAACTCCACGAATCCTCTGACTGAAATCCTCAGCCTCAAGAGCGTGAGTTCCTGTTTCCTCACACCTTATATACCTTCCTGCCATATTATTTCCTGGGATTAAGGGTGTGTGTCCTTCCCAAGCAAAGACATGAGATCTCAAGTGCTGGGATTAAAGGTGTGTGCTACCAAGCCTGGCCCTGTTCCCAGTATGGCCTTGAACTCAGAGATCCAGACAGATCTCTGCCTCTCAGTGACAGGATTAAAGGTGTGTGTGCCACCACTGTCTGGCCTCTATGTCTAATCTAGTGGCTGTTCTGTTCTGATCCCCAGATAAACTTTATTAGGGCACACTATTAGGGTACACAATCCATTGGGGTGCATAGTCCATCACCATAAATGTTCTCTAACTGGCTGGAGTATTCTTTCTCTTCTCCAGATATTTCCTCTGTCTTTGCCATCTACTCCTCTTCCTGCTCCACCAAGCCCTGGCTTTGTTTTTAAAGATTATTATGATAATGATGATGATGATGATGATGATGATGATGATGATGATGATGTGTGTGTTCGAATTTACCACAAAGGACAGAGGGGTGCTCTATCCAGCTGCCTGGCCTGGGTACTAGGAGCTCAGCTCTGCAGGAGCCGCAGGGACTCTGAGCCCTGAACCATTTCTCCAGCACACCCCGCCTTGCTTTGTTTTTACTTTTCAGTTACAGCTTTGTGGGCAGAACAGGCTGACACCCCCACCCCCTTTCTAAGCTCTTTAACTCCTCATCATCGGTTTTGTTGTTGGTTTATTTTTTGTTTGGTTGGTTTTTTGTTTTTTTAAGACAGGGTTTCTCTGTGAAACAGCCCTGGCTGTCCTGGAACTCACTCTGTAGACCAGCCTGGCCTCGAACTCACAGAGATCCAGTTGCCTCTGCCTCCCAGGTGCTGGGATTAAAGGCGTACGCCACCACCGCCCAGCTCCTCATAGTTTAAAAGGCTTCCTTGGCCAGGTTCTGTCGGCTGCTGTAAACATCAGTTTGCTTCTCTTTCTCTTTATGTGCTGCTGGCACTCATTCAAAACTGGATCAGTCAGGGTTTTAGAGGGGCAGAACTGATAGAATGGAAACTTCCTCCTCATATCCCTGTGAAGGGATGGGGACTGGAGCGGGAGAGATGGCTCAGCAGTTAAGAACATTGGCAGCTCTTCCTTAAGTCCTGAGTTCAAGTTCCAGCAACCCCATGGTAATTCACAACCATCTATAGTGGGATCTGATGCCCTCTTCTGGCATGCAGGGATACATGTAGATAGAACTCCATATACATAAATAAATCTTTAAAACAACAACAACAACAAAAACAAGAAACAAAACAAAAAGTGGGAACTGATAGAATATAAACTTCCCCCTCACGTCCCTTTAAAGGGACAAGACTGATAGAATATATACAATATATAATGTTATATATAATATAAGCTTATAAGCTTCTCCCCACTTATCCCCCACACCTCTGTCCAGGTTCCAGTCAAGGCCTTCCTTTCTTCTTTACACCTGGTTATTTTACACATCGATCCCCCAGTGCACTTTTGGGGTCTGTTAGCTATGCCCATTGGAGGAGTACCCTGACTGCTATGCCTGAGTACTTCATCCAGCTGGGGAAAGCCAGACTGGTCATTGACCCAGTTCCATAATGGCAGGTAGAGTTACTCTGGGGGGAGAGGAGAATTTTAAAGATGTAAAGAGAAACATTTTTTTTCCTCTCAAAAATAGTTAACCCAACAAGTGCCCTTATCTCCTGAACCCTCTCCCACCCTTCCCCTCTACCAATCATGTCAGAGTGTGGAGTTCCCGTTGTGAGGTGAGGGGAGCCATTGCCTGTGTAAGGGATAAGAGACAGAGGTCATCTTGGTCTACAGTCCTGCTTGCTATCAGTGCTGAGGTTCTAGCACGTCCTTGAAAAAGCCTTCCTGAAGTACTTTTCCGCTGTCCACCACTGCCAAGATTGCTCTTTCCCAACAGGTGGGCTCATGTTGTCATCCCAGTGTGACTGTCCTGGCGGGGGAGGGGGGCGACTCGCAGATGTCACAGATTGCAAAAATGAGAAAGATGCTGCTGCCACCTGGTGGTAATTTGCCAGAATTGTTCTCAGGCTGGGGACAAAAGTGGGGAGGCTAAGTCTACTCTGTACATGGATAAATATGAAATAAGGGTGTGGCTCAAGGGTTAGAGCAGGAAGCCATAGGTCCAATCATAGCACCACACAAAACCAGTGTGATGTGGCTGCATATCAGGAAAACAAGGGGTTGGAGGCTGCGCTGTGTGCATGAGACCCGTAAATAAGCCCATCCATGCCCTGTGTGAGTTTTGTGTCTCTGATCTTGATCTGGGAGAGGCATATTTTCTGTTTTCAATTAAAATATCGAGCAGAAAGGACAGGGTGCTGCACTCCTGTAATCCAAGTACAGGGGAGGTAGAGGCAGGAGGATAATGAATTCCTGGCCACCCTGGTCTCCAACTCCAGTTAAAAGTTCCTGCCTGCCTTCTCACTGTCCTCACAGACCACAACTCTGTACAGGGCGTCTTATGTGCACTTCCTACTTGTCCTAGGTCTGCTGTAGATGGTGGGCTCTGGGAGAGCAGAGCCTGCCGAGTGTTCTCCACATCAGTACCTGGTGCAGCATCTGGCCATAGATGTCCCATAATCTCTTAAATGAATGACTCCGTAGATATCTCTCTGAAAATTAAACAGATGGGTGACAGTATAGCTTAGGTTGCCTGAGCTGTGAATGTGTGTGTGTGTAATGTGTGTGTCTCTGTGTGTTATGTGTCTGTGTGTGTCTCTGTGCATGTGTGTGTGTAATGTGTGTATGTGTCTGTATGTGTCTGTATGTGTCTCTGTGCATGTGTGTGTAATGTGTGTCTGTGTATATGTGTGTGTCTCTGTGTGTATGTGTCTGTGTGTGTCTGTGCATGTTGTGTGTGTAATGTGTGTCTGGGTATATGTGTGTCTCTGTGTGTATGTGTCTGTGTGTGTCTCTGTGCATGTGTGTGTGTAATGTGTGTCTGTGTATATGTGTGTCTCTGTGTGTATGTGTCTCTGTGTATATGTGTGTGTATGTGTCTGTGTGTGTCTCTGTGCATGTGTGTGTAATGTGTGTCTCTGTGTATGTGTGTGTCTCCATGCATGTGTGTGTGTGTAATGTGTGTCTGTGTTTATGTGTGTATCTCTGTGTGTAGCCAGAAGTTTCTCTGGTCTTACTGGCCCCCACGGTCGGGATGAGTCTCTCCCACCCATGTCCCTCAGCTGCTTGGTCCCAAATAACACACAGAGAATTATATTATTACGAATTGTATGGCCTAATGGCTCAGGCTTATTGCTATCTGGCTCTTACAACTTAACTCAGTCTATTTCTATTCATCTATGCATTGCCACACGGCTTCCTAGCTTACTGATACTTTCACATCTTGCTTCTCCTGGCAGCAGCTGGCAGCATCTGCCTCCACTCTCTTTTCTCCTCTATCTCCCTTGGATGATTTTCCTGCCTGGCTCCATCCTGCCCTGCCATAGTCTAATGTAGCTTTATTTATTAGCCAATGGGAGCAACACATATTCACACCACACAGAAAGACATCCCACAGCACTTCCCCTTTTCTGTCTAATCAAAAAGGAAGGTTTTAATTTTAACATAGTAAAATTACATATAATAGAACAGTTATCAAGCAAGAATTACAGTTATAATATCTAGTCTATTTGTATTTGAAAATTTAAAGAAAATATTCTATCATCTAGCCTATATTTGTGAGTCTAAAGTTTCATATCTAATTTATCTTTTATCATAACCAATGAAAATTATAACTATCTAGTCTTCAACTACATCAAAGACCTCAGAAGGATATAATATTACCTAAGTTAACAGGAAGTGCATTGCAAGCAACTTCCATAATTCTAGAAATGACAGAGACATCTGGCTGCCTGGACAGTCATCCAAAGTTCCTCTGTAATGTTGGGGCATGTATCTTCAGCTTTGGCAAACTTTTCAGTGAAGCAGAAATTTGAAAGATTGTCTCACCTATTGGCAAAGTTCATCAGTGGCTTCTCCCTGTGTCCTGCAAAATGTCTGGCAGTCTCCTCTGTGAAGCAGGAAACTTAAGGACCATCTCTCCCTGTTTTGGCAAAGTTCAGTGGTCATATTCCCCTGGGTCCTGCATGTCCAGTTTATATAACATACTATCAAGCTGTCCAGGTAAGAGCAGTTTTTTTCCCAAATGATTAACTTTTGCCATTAAGAAAGCAAACTCCATATGGAGTTTCATTGATGCCCATCATCTTCTCTGAAGTAGATTGGTATTGCCAGGAGCAGACATGTCTCAATGTCCAGAAAAGTTCTTAAAATATTTTAAATGCCATATTCTGTAGGTCTTCGAAGTGTTTGAAGATTACCTAACTGAAATATATCTGTGTATACCTAGAAAACTTAACTAACATGACTATAAGTTTGATTATCATAGATGACTAATTACTAATCTGTATTTCTTAATTATACATTACAATCTTAAATGAGTTGCACAAACACAATACCTTAAACAAGAGTAGAAATATATATACAGTATAACAAAATTAAATTTGTATCAGTAAACTAAAATCCATAGCAATATAAAACATTTCAAAAAAATTTAATACTTTTTAAAAGTAGATTCAATAATCTACCCTTTCATCCTAATATCTATATCCTTTTTCTTCTTTAGAAAGAGATCTCATTCATAATCAATCCCCTTTAAATAAAAATAAACATTTATAAACACTATTTTGGGAATTTGGACATAGCTTCTCATACTACTTCCTGCTGGTTGGGGCACTGGCAATCTTATGAGGATTCTGAGAAAATTAATAATTACAGTTAAATCTTGGCTGCAGTAGTCTGTGAGGCTATATCAACCTTTCAGGGAGTCTTGGTTGATCAAACCATATTAGCCTAGAAGCAATCCATAGGTTCTCATCTTCTATGGAAACAATCTTCTCCAAAGCAACATATCCTTAGACACAAATTTTTAAATCAAGATACCCTTAAAATATATATATTGGTTTAACTCAGCAACTTTTACAATCAAATGTCTTTCTCCAGTTAAAAATCCCAAAGACAACACAATCCAAACTCTCTGTGTAATTTCCATCTTTATGTGGCTTATTATATTTTTATATATTATTCTATTTTTAAGACTTTTATGACTATCTATATCCTTTCTCTTCTCTCTCTCTCAAGTCTACATACCTTTTTTACACATGATGTAAACTGTTTAGAGTTTTATTCCATCTGAATCTGTCTTATTGTGAATCTACAATCCTTCTCTGGCCAGGAGAAATTTTAAACTGTTAAGCTGTGAGATGACTTTGGCTGTTGACTCTGCCCCCCTCAGCTTCCCAATATGGCAGAGGTATATTTATCACCAGCTCTGGGATTCATGCTCACTGATGAATCTGGGAAGCAGTGGGTCTGTGCCTCCATCCAGCAGAATGTAGCCCAACACCCCCCCCCCTTTTTTTTTTCTGTGCTAGCAAAAGGTAAATCCAGTGCACTGTGTGGTTTGGAAATACCTCTGTGTACTCTCCCCTGTTCCTCCCTCCTCCATCTTTCCTTCCTTGCTCCTTACTCCTGGCTCTGAGAAAACTCTACAAAAGATCTGCCTTACCATCTACAGAATCTCTGCCTTCTTCCCTTCTCTCCAGCCATAGGCTCTGTCTATCATCTACAGAAACTCTCCTTGTTCTCTTCTCTCTGGCCATGTGGCTCTGCTCTGCCCAGGAATTCTGCCCCAGTCTTTACTGCACCTGGTTATGCAAAAACCTCCTTTGTTCTGAGTCAATTGCTCTGGAATGCCATTTCCCTGTCTGGGGAAGGGAGGACTGAGCTTCATTTGCACGAGAAACAAAACTATGAATCTACAGCCCACCTGTCTTCTAGGCCCAGCAGGGGTGTTAGTTACCTACTGGATCAGCAGTAGGTCTGAGAAACTTAGTTGTTTGCCAGTATGGCCTAGTAGTATATGGGCACACAAGAATTTCACAGCAGAGGACAGCTGATATATATTAATAAGCTAAATAACGGCAAATATTCCTTGATAAATGGCTTCTTCTAGAAGGACACCTCGGTCAGTCAAGGTATAGCTTATTATATACAGCTGAATCTCTATACTATATTCTTGCAGCTCACTGCATTCTCTACATACTCCAGGGGCTGCAACCCTTTCCTCGGGCCCCTTCCCCTTGGAGCTACTTGCTCTATCTCCCCTTGTGTCCTCCAAAGCCTGTACATTGTGAGTTTCCTTGCCTTCCCTTAGGAACGCCTGTGACTTCTCTATGCTCTCCTGGCTGCTATGATATTGGAGTCCTCCCTTGGGTGGAGTTTCTGCTTGATCCTCCTTGTCCCTATGGCCACAATGTTCTGTCCCTTAGCTGCCTAACCCTCCCTATGCTGGAGTTTGTTCCATAACTTTCCTCCTTTTCTCCTCCAACTTAGAGATTTTCTTCTTCTTCTTCTTCTTCTCCTTCTTCTTCTTCTTCTTCTTCTTCTTCTTCTTCTTCTTCTTCAAAAAAAAAAAAAAAAATTCTTTATTAATTCTTTGAGAATTACACATCATGCACCCCAATCCCACTCACCTCCCAGTTCCTCCATATCTGTCCCTCACCCCTGCAGTGTGCCCCCTCAAATTAATTAAAAACAAAACAACAATAAAAAACCCACCTCACTTCTCCATCTTTCCAACACCTCTTCATCCTAGTGGCATTAGGAGCTGCAGTGTGTCATGCAGTATACCTTTTTGTCCAATCACCCTTAAAATGTTCATTGATCAAGGTCCCTGGCACACCATCACTGGACCCTCACCAAAACTCCTCATGGACATCCTGCTGTTGTCCCAAGTCATGGAAATCCTGCAGTTATTGTTCCACAGGACCAGTCCCTCCATGTACCCCAGCAGGTCACAGATGGGGTAGATGTTAGGGTGGGCCAACCCAAGGCCCAGGACACCATGGCCTCATGTGGCAGTGTGGAACCAAAATAAGACCAAAATGTTCTCACCCCAAAACTAAAG